TGGCCTGAAGATCAAGTTCAACGTGTACCACCGGTGGTACACATGGCATGGAACGTGTTAAACTGAAAGGAATCGTCAACGTGCACTGCGGGTTTACTAGAACAAGTACAATATACACAAGAGTTAATGACAAGTAGTTTCAAACTCTGGAAAAATAATATTCTCCACTGTTTTTTAAAGTTTTGTAAGAAGCAATAAGAAGTCTAGTTTATGTGAAACACTGAGTGTCAATTGACTGGACTGTCTTTAGAAATTTCTTCTCCTGAAATTCTTTTGCTCTCCTTATGTCGTTATAGCTTTTACTCTAAACGTCTGTCCAAATGTTATATTATTACACATCACATTGTACAACAACCAAATGTATACGTTATAATTATCAGAAAATTATAAAAGTAGGAAACCCCAGCCTAGATTTAAATATCCCCTCAGACAGTCGAGTGCAAAAGGTTAAATGTATATAGTTTTGGAAATGAGTGAGAAAAGAGTATCTGAGGGGACTCTAAATCAAGGAATAACTCTGCTAAAAGAAAAGCATTTTTCATGGGATTAACAAGCTTAGCCGATAATTCAGTTTCGACTCTTTCAATCGAATTACACAAGTCTTATTCCGATTTCTACTGAAACACGATTTTACCTAATTTGTATTTCTTTATCTTGTAACATTTACTACAATAATTACCTAAAAGTAATTTTTTTTTTTTTTTTTTCTGTAATACCGATTCGATCTCTGGTCTACACTTCAACTACTCACATATCTGGAGGGTACCACCGCAACAAGACCTTAATCCTCCCGTCCATTTCCACTCTTCGGGCTAATACCTGCGAAACAAGGTTACGCGAACGTTACTAAAACGATCTGATGGGTCGCGGCGAGTGGGTCACTTCCGGTTCTCAACTCACTTGACTAGTTAGGGCCATCGAGTTTCCCGGTGTTTCCGCGAGGCGACCTTGAGTCCTCGACTTCGCCAATTGAAGTAACCTGTGCTGCAGTCCCTCCATCACCCCCGAGTCGAAGTAATCGAAGAGCCTCGCTGCAAGAAAGGAAGGGCAAACCAAGTGAAAGGCCAGTTGGGCCAGCAAGGGAAAGAGATGATCGTCAATACGTAAAGAAAAATCCACTTGGAAGTGGTGAGAGGGGATATTTACCAGACCAAGGTTGCCGCCTGTATCGAAGCCGTTTCCCGTTTCTTCTCACCAGTTTCCCGCCGCTCTCGCAGCTCCGTTTCGCGTTGTTGTTGCTGGTTTCCGGCTGATTGAAGTGCCCGTTCACGTGCCTCTCGAGCGCCGTCTGCAAATTGATTCGCTAGATTACGACGCGAGATACTGGCACTTTCCAGGGAAAGCGCGATTCTCGTCCATACGGAAGGATCAATTTGTATCAATTTGTATCATCTGAGAAACTGTGTAACATAATTGTCCAATTATTGTTTTCTTCTTTTTTTTCTTTTTGAAAAAAAGTAGAGGTACAAGTAGAAGACGAAGACGACGACGCAGACGCAGACGACGACG